GTTTGAAGGGAGAAACTTATTGCTTTCTCTATTTCATCAACAAAATAATCAATCTAAAACAGTTAGAAAAATGCCTAAAATTATACCACCAAAAGTACGCTTTTAAAAGGAAAGTCCTTGCCCCTTGTCACGTACCTCTGGACTGATACATTGGAGGGGAACACTGCTCCTTACATTACATTCAGGCTCTGAAAATTGCCTAAAACTAGTTCAGACATTGTAACAAAAGTTGTTGTTTTTTTTAAAAAAACAAACAAACAGGGAAAAAAGTTAAGAAAACTTCAACAAGAAAAAATGTAGCACTATTACATTGCAGTGGCCTCATGGTGACCCAGTACATTTTTCTTTATTTTAAAGGCTTTTTTGGAGGGGGGGGGGTGGTTGGGTGGCCTGATACCATCCTGAAAGTTTTCAGAATGGCATAGGGACACCCATCTGGGAAAGCCCGGGTTTTGTGGGGAGGTGTGGGGACTTAAACTCACTTTGAAGTGGGTTTCTTTAACCAGCTCTGAAGTGGGTTGAAGCCCTCTGTGGAAATGCTCTTTGAGACATTGTCAGAGTAGTAAGCTGTTGGAGCATATAAAAATCAATTGGTGAGTGTGTTAACTAAAAAATGCAAGGCATGAAGCTGATTGGTTCGACCACGCCTGAGAGGCTAGCTAAGCCTGGGAATTTTGGCAACAGTTACATGTTTAGGTTTTCTGTGCAGGAGCTTGTCAAAACAAGTTAGTATATTTTTCTGCTTCTCAGCTGCTGGAAGAAGATCCTTCACATGGACACCCAAGTAACATTTGAATCTCTCTCAAAGGACATTATGTGAGTCAATGCAACTGTTCACATGACTGTATATATGTTGCTCTGCATAACAAAGAGTAAACACATTGTTATTTACTGATCATCTGCATGGCCTATCTTTTCTTTTGCAAGACAGTGTGTGGATTAGTAAACAAAATAAACTATGTGTGATTTTCATTCCACTACAAAAACCTTATAGAAAAATAGGACTGGTTCTGATGCTTTAAAAAACAAAAGCAAAGTAGATCATGTTAAAAGCTACTTTTTGCTTCCATGTAAAGTGATTTCAATAATTAAGAGTCTCATGCAGTATAATGTTCTGTTTAATCTATTATTATTTTCCCCATTATTATTTTAAAAGGATGAGAGAGTGAAAAGTTATGGAATTATTTCAATTTAGATAAGCTATGCATTAAAATCAAAAGACTTTATAGCAGATTATCTTAAAGAATATGGAATGCAGTTGGTTATGCTAAATTTACCTGTGATTGTGTGTCAAAAGCAGAAAATACTCCTCAATAAATTTAGTAGTCATGGGATACAAGGGCAGGTATTCTTATAGATTACACATTACAAAATAGGAAGCAGACAAAGAGATTAACTAGAGGGTTCTGTATTAGGAATAGTGCCTTCCTTTTTTTTCAAAAAGCTCTTTAGTTATGGGCAAATGAATGAGATGGCCCGGTTTGCAGGTTACACTAATGACCTCTTCACATGGGCTACAGGAATTGCCATGGATCATGGTGAATGTGGAAACCACTGTCAGGTATGGGGAACCCGTTGCCCGCCCCACATCGCCCAGCTTACCAGTAAACTAATTCCACGTGAGGAAGCGTCGACTGCCCAGCCACCCCCCCCCATTGCTTTTAATGCCTCCTGTGTTGCTACCGCAGAAGGTCCCACACTAGTTTACCCACGAAGCCCATCTGAAGTTCCCCTGCATTTTGAGATGGGAGCCAGTGGGCTCTTGGGTAAGCTAGGGCTGAACCGCCATATGCCATCAAAGTAAGCCCTGTCTGATGAGGTCATCAGTTGTTCTGATTGTGAAGGGATATCAGTGCACCGAAGCATGAACCACATTACATGGTGAAACCGATTCAAGCATGACTGCTCCAGCACTCTGCACATGTGCATTGTTGCAGGGGGAGGTAAAAATAAAAGTCTGAACCCTGTGAAGCCACAGATACTGCAGATTTTGGACCTAGTTTGAGACCAGCCTCTGCAGTGCATATAAACCCAGTTCCAACACTTCACATGTAATCACACAGTGAAATCGCATCCTTCTCTGTAGATTTCACACCGAACTAATTGGTCAGTGTAAATGTGCCCAGAGCTACAGACCATCTATTCCAACATTAATGTTCCTGCAGCAGCAAACGATTTGTCTGTGAGACTCACAAGCAAAACAAGAGTGTAAGAGCAATCTCCCACTCAACAGCTGATACACAGCAGTGTACTGTTTCTGGTACTGTTAGGAATATATATTTCCATCAGCTATATATACCCTTATTCTCCATAAATCTGTCCAAATTTCTTTTAAACTGAGCCAAATGGTCAGCCACCACGGTCTCTTGCAGTAGTAATTTTCACCATTTAACTATTTGCTGTCCTTCTTTTCAGCTGTCCCAAGTTTCCCATCATCCGGCTTTAGTGGTTGACCACAGGCAATTGTGTTATGAGAGAGGAAGAAAAAGTTTACCTGAGTACTTTCTCCACAATACACAGAACCTTCTGCATTTGGTATCACTTTTCATATCTCCTATTTATCATATTTTTAAAGCTATAAACACCAAATGTTTTCTCAAAGGGGAGTAAGTCCAGCTCTCCTTGATCCTTTTGATCACCATTTCCTCATTTGATCATGCTTTTTAACTAAGCAATATCCTTTTTCAGGTATACAATTTCCTTTTCTTATTCTTCCAAGCGTGACCGCCCCATAGTTTGGAATACAACCTGCCCCAAGTCCCTGTATGGGGATATTGACATCTCTTAGTTGAAATGTTTCACTGAGACAAAATCAAATTTCCCCTGGTTTGCAGCAAGGAAACTGGAATTGCAAGTTTGTGTGTGCATGCCTTTAAGTCACTTTTCAATTTATGCTGACTTTGTGAATTACACAGGATTATTTTTAGGCAAGGAATACTCAGAGGTGGTTTTCTTTAGGGTGCATTAAACCATTTACACACTTGTTTCCTCAGCATGCTTTGCTTCAATCGTATAGCTGAGGCCAGGAAGAGAATGCGGTGTGGCAAAATGTAATGCTTCACTCATTTTTTTCCGATATGCCCCGTGGAGGTTTTAAATTGGGTTTCTGCTGACTTTAATTCTCTCCCCAAGCTGAAGGTCTTCCCTGTTGCTGTTTTGTCTTTTTCCTCTGCTATAAAGACCAAGGCCTCTGCGGAGAGCTTGATGTGGGTGTGCTTTATATAGCTGACGGGTTGAGCAGGTGGCCATTACTATGCCATGCAGGTGGCTGCATAAAGGCGAGTGATATAACATTTGGGGATGCATTGTAGCAACTCCCTTGGGGAATCATGTTTCCAGATACTAGAGCAGGCAAGTGGGGGTTATGGTTGTTAGCCAAGATTTCAGTGAACATTGTTAAGGGTTACTACCATGGCAGTATGTGGTTCTCTTTGTGAGAGAACTTGGGGAGATTGGCTGGGAGGAGAGGAATAAAATGTCAAAGCAGATAGAGAGAGAAGCAAGCTGGGTATCAAAGAGACAAGGCAGGACCATTTGTGGAGCTCATCTGCCCACCTGCAATCACATCTCGGTGGAGTTGGCTGCTCTGTTGGGCATAATTTATAGTGTATAATTAAGCCCTGCTCCAATTTTCTAACCAGCACTTTTATAACTTTTGTATGGTAAGGATCCCTGGAGGGTATGGTAGAAGGCCTATTCTGCCAGAGCATTTGTGTGTGTGTATGTACACACATACATAGAATGGAATAGCTGATCCTCTTCCAATAAAATAAAATAAAAATAAAATAACAAAAGCTGTGTAAGACAGGAATTGTAGGTAGTTGAGCAGGTGTGCAATAGAAAAGTATTTCTGATCTAAGTCCCCATCAGAGAACTACACTAAAAGTAGGCTTGGTATTGTGTACTGTTTTTTCAACCAAGAATGTGCTCAGGAGAACTAACTGGCAGTATGGCTGACTGACTGTGGGCCCATAGAGCCACATTTGTTCCTGCATTTATTGTTGCTATTCCTGGTTTGTAGTAATAAGATGCCAGATGCACAAGACATAGGAGCATGTAAACTGATGAGAAAATATTTTATAAGCTGTTTTGAATCTCCTTTAAGAGACAGAAAGCAGCATATAAATATCATCCTCATCCCAGTAGTCTTTTGGCTGAACAAAGATATAAATTCGAAGAAAGGGAAGAAGAAAAAGGAAGGAAGTGTGAGCTGCTACTTTTTGTTATTTTTTCTTACCCTAGTCCCACCCCATCACTTTAATTGACCAAACAAGTCAATATGCAATCGTCAACACTAGTACATACAGTTCTGACCCAGTATTTAATGCTAAAGGAAAAAAAGTCATTTGTTTTTGTTAATTGTGAAACTTGAGAGAATATTATTTGAGACAGAGAAAACAGAACACAGGACAGAAAAGTCAGTGTAATTTTTCCTTCATCTACCTGACATCATGGCTTGTTGTGATGATAAAATGAGAGGAGGGGATTAATGTATAGCTTCTTGAGCTCCGTGGAATAAAAGCAAAATATACAGTATAACAAAATTAATATGGATGTACAGATAAATTAATATTGTGAAAGAAAGGTTTATCACCTGCCTCTACCTTCCAGTGACCCCTTCTCCACAGCTGCTGTACTTAATCTTTCGTTTCCGCCTTTTCACATTTTCTGGCTCTAGCGTTTGCTTTGCATGCTAAGAAACAAGGTTAGAAGTGGTAGGTTGTCTGTAGGCCTTGAAAAAGATATGTGTACAAGATAAATAGAGATTGAGATCAATGAGCTTTCATGGCAATTCTTTTGAAGCAGGAGCAGAGTAAATAACATAGTATAAGAAAGAAGATGAAGCACTGATTACAGGTTAATGTGGATGTGTGCAGGTTCTGATGACATGAATGAAGAGAAAGAACACATTGGCTGAGACAGAAGACACTGCAAGACCAATGGGCAAAGCGTAGGGAGTTTACTCAGGTGCTTATTTGCAACATCAAGAGACATGCGAGTGGTAGGAACAAATTTATTCAGCAGCCAGGCAATTGATCTCAGCCACAGACACCCATCTCAAGTGCTATAAGAAGCATGTAATTTAAGTGTATTCAAATCTTAAAGAAATTGGAAATGATGATCTCAAAGGGAACAGCTTGGTACGATAAAATCCCTCCTTTGGGTGCCAACAAAAGGCTGAGGAAGTGACCTGGAAATGGAGAGCATCAGTAAGGCTGCTGATCAGCTACCCAAACTGCTGTCAATGCTGCAGAGGCATCTCGTAAAAGGGGCTGAAGATTTTTCTTTGGCACCCTCAGCATCACACCATTAACTACAGTCAAGAATGTCACCCTTGTGTTGGGAGCACTTTTTCGACTTCTGGTCCAACTGAGCTCTCCTGGCTTCCACTGGTAAATTGTATTTCCTACCAGTACATGAATTCTCCGCTGCCACTGCACTGCACAAGGTGGCAAGACCAGGATGGGGAGCTCTGGGATAGCAACATCATGGCTCACAGTACCATCTTTGCTGAGGAAAAAGCACTTATGGGTGCCGGAGATCAGAGCTCGGATTACAGTGCCGGGTGTCTCCCGTCGACTGCTCTCCTCAACTAGTCCACCAATGACAAAAATCCCATTGTCCATGGTCACTGCTGTTGATTTGTAACACTGAAAAGCCAGGGGCACCTGGTTCCACATGTCTAAGTTTGTATTGTAAATCAGGATGCCACGGTGAGCAAGTCCACTTGCCCTCGTGTGAGAGAATCCTCCAATTAGATAGAGCTTGTTCTTCAGGGTGGCAGAAGCAAAATGACTGACTGCAAAGGGTAGGCTGGCTATGGGAGACCAGAACTTCTGTACCAAGTCAAAGCTTTCTGCAGAATCAAGCACATTTCTTCCACTTCGTCCCCCGAGTGCATAAAGTTTCTGCTTGCATGCTAGAAAGCCATGTTCTCGGCGGGGTATAGACATGGATGGCAGCTGAATCCATTGACCTGTAAGTGCATCAAACTCATGTAGATTACCTAATACTGATCCATTAAGCCTTTGTCCCCCAGAGACATAGAGCTTGTGCCCCACAGACAAAAAACCAGAGGAGTCAAGATACATTAAGGGTGGGATCTCCTCCCAACTTTCCATCTGTAGATTGAACCCTAGGAAGTGAGTTTTCAGACGTTCAACCACGCCTCCTTGCATGTTGCTTACAAAGAGGCCCAAGCTCACAATCCAGTCATCATACATGCCATGCCTGAGACCCCCACTCTTTAGGAGTCTCCCGACTCCATCCAGTTGCTCCCACTGCAAGTGTGCATGTCCATACTCTGCAATAATATCTTGCTGAACAGTAGCAACCTCCTCAGAAGTAAGAAGTGGAAGGCGGACTTGTTTCATTAGGTTTTTGATCAGTGTCAGATGCTCAGCTGGTTGGGACCTTACCCAGTGCTGCACGGCATGGTAGACAGTCAATTCTGAGGAGACCAGAAGTTTGTCTGACGAAATAATGCTGATCACTGTGCTAAGATCCAGGCCTGGGAAGGCCTTGTGTGCAGAAAGAGGCTCAAAGTTCAAGAAAATGTGGCGTGCAGCCACACGGAGCAACGCTTGGTGGTTGTGAGTATATGCCAAAGCATATGTCCCTAGGCTGCTGTCCATAGAAATGCTGTTGGCCAAGAATCTGGGGAAGGAGTGAAAAGAAATGGGAGTCAACAAGGTGCTGCTGAAAAATCTTACATCCCAGAAGTTGAAGGTCTGAGCACACTCACTAGCATGCTTATTTATCTTTCTTTGCATAAAATACCACATTATGACCATGGCAATGAAGTTGCCAAGGTTTCTGAAAATCATGAAGGTGTATCTTTTGTTAAACCCTGAAAACCAAGATAGTTTGCATGAGATTATGAATGCTTGCATCTGTACAATGGACACCTCATAAACCTAGCAGGATAGTCCCCATCCCCACCCACCCCAGCACCCACACATCATTTTAGTTTTGTTTGGACTATGTGTGTCTGAGCAGCAGGGAGTTGTGGTCTTCCAAGGTTCCTTGTAGAGATGATATATCCCTCTAACTCCCAGCAATTTTCTATGTCACCTTAGATCCTAAAAGAGGACTCATTCATAGCCTTCTGAGAGACAAACCCTCACCGTCCCCTCTTCACTTGACGTTTTAACTGAAAGAGGTCTAGAGAAAGAACTTCACTTTTATGAAATCACAGATCTCTTTTAAAATCTGGTAAAAGCTAGAGACCTTGCTCCCCAGAAAAAAAACAGTTTCAAATTAAGAAATTTAAGAGGAAGAAATCTGGGTTTTTGTTATCTGTTGTTGTTGTTGTTGTTTTAATGCTTGGTTCATTGTCCCCTGGAAGGTTAGCCATATAACTTCAAGGCATATTGCCCACAAGGACAAAGCACATCCTATAGAGATGGTATTTCTCCTACAAGGATATCCATATATTTCAAAGATCTCTCCTGCAGCTTCCAAAAATATGCCCCTTCTTCATGTTACAAACCACAATCCTGACTTACCTGCCAATAATCTCCAATAATGGGAGGATGACAAGTCTGCTAGCTGCTGTGAAGAGATCTTGAGCAGTCTCTGGTGTGAGCAATAATTCCCCAGTGTAGATATAATTTAGAATTCCCTGGAGGATGGAAGCATTCATTTCTTCAAACACAACGTGCCTTTCCCAGTATTCTCTAAAGGGCCTGGTGAACATGGCATAGAAGTAAGGGCTGAATGAGGCCAACAATGCCCTATAAAGAGAGTCAGGAAAGAAACTACATCAAAACATAACTTGAGCTCATGCTAATTATAAACATCCTAAAATCCCCAAATTCATGTAATCCAGCTAAAGTGGGACAGGGAGAAACTCATTCAGTTTGCATTTGAATATGAAACTATCTAGCATCACTCTTCCTGAATATGCAAACAAAAGCATACATTTAAAGCCCTTAACATTGCAATTTATTTTAATTTTGGAATGCATTTCTTCAACTACATGGGTCTCTCGGTAAACCTCACAAACAATATGGATTAAATCAAAGAATATGGCTTGCAAAATTTTTCTCAGGCAGAAGTATTAATGTAAATACATATATTTGTATATGATAATGCACAAAAAATGTGTAAGCATTCATGCCCACCTTAAAAAGTGCATAGATTAATTCAGAAACTGGACAGAAAAATTAAGATAATAAATAATTGAAAGTGATTAAAATTAAACTGAATGATTGGGAGAAAATGAACTTGATAGATCTGACTGTTCTTCTCCCTAAACAGAAATGTTTACTGCTCAGGTCAGGCCCGTAGCCAGGATTTCGTTTCGGGGGGGGGGGGGGGGTTTTTTAGGGGGGGTGTTTGGGGGGGGGGGGGCGGGGGGGGGGCTGAGTCTGAGTGAAAGAGGGTCTACCCTAGCAAACTTTTTGTATCATTACCCAATACCCCCATGCATATGGGATATATTGAGTATGGTGATCAGATCATGATATGAATAAACATAACAGTTTAAATAATGTACCAGTAAGGCCTTTTCGAACCACCATGAGAATTTCGGGGGGGGGGGGCTGAAGCCCCTCAAGCCCCCCCCCCCCCCCCCGGCTACATGCCTGGCTCAGGTTAGAAAAACTAAGGATATTCATTAGGCCTGGGTAACAACGGAAAAATTTGTTTCTAAAATCGATTTGTATTTGGGGGTTTTTTTTTGTTTCGATATTTAAAATAATTACAAAATTTTCCTTTTAAAAAGTTCGATATTTACGAAATTTCGTAAATGGTAAAAAATTAACGAATCGATTGCCGAAACAATAACGAATCGATTCGTTAATGGCGGACGCGACCGCGAAATACGCTAAAAAACCTCCAAAACCTTCTGAAGCTTCCCTCTCCCTCTGTTGTTGACTGTTGGTGTGATATTATAATTTTTTTTCACTAATTAAACCATAAAACTGGCCCAGACATGCGGAAATAATAACGAAACGACCTCAAAACAATAACGAAATGAATACAATATCGAAATACGAAGCATTTACAAAACGTTTTTGAAAATTCGTTTTTTTAAATAATTGCTCCAGAATGGTTCGTTATCGTTTTGTAATTGAAAAAATTAATGAATTATTAACGAATTACGAATTAACGAAACGAAACTGCCCAGCCCTAATATTCATATTCCGCTGTCTTAGGGTCAAACCATATGGTGCTCCCCATGTGGTAAAATATGCTTGTTGTAATACATGGCCCTTCCTCACTAGTACATTTAACATGCTTTATTTTATTATTGGTTTTGAAAAGTGGAAACAGGCTTTGCTATTCTAATTGCTGGGACACTTAGAATCATGGAATAATAGAATCCTAGAGTTGGAAGAGACCTCATGGGCCATCCAGTCCAACCCCCTGCCAAGAAACAGGGCAATCACATTCAAAGCACCCCCAACAGATGGCTCTCTAACCTGTGTTTAAAAGCCTCCATAGAAGGAACCTCCACCACTTATTTTATGTAGTTGGAGGGAAACTACGTTAAATCACAGGGAATATTCAGTACCCTTAATTTATAGTTTAGTCACTTGGAATAATTTGGAAATACACCTCACCTCTGATGTACTAGTACTCCTCTGGGTTAGGTAACCTGAACATCTGCTAAGGGGTGAGAAATGTCAAGAATATATAGGAAGGAATACAAGTGTGGGCCTAACGTACACTTCACTCCCAGTGCACATTCCTCTACAGGTCATATCAGCCATGTAGAGTCTATCCTTGAACATCTTTCACTCCATTCACTTGAGGAAGCATATTTATTCTGCAAGAACTTATGCTACCATGTTCTCACAGTCTCTAAGGTGCATATTCATATTCCAGACTAACATGCCTGTGCTTTGAATCCTTGATCAGGTAAAGATCCCTTTTTTATGTGAGTAGAGGTACTGAGCTTTTACTATGAGGCCCAGAATCTAGTAAAATATCTACAGACATGTTCCTTATTTAAAAGGTTTCAAGAGTATTACATGCTGAAGAAAAACAATAGAAAGGCATTGTCCTCTTCCCCACTTGGGAACCATCACCTGATTACTGTAGGATACACTCCTTGAGTTACACGGCTAGATGGGAGAGTACAACTTTCTAAGCATGTCGTGTATCTGACATGCTGCTACTAGGAATCCAAACAGGTGTATCATTATATAGATGTACGCCTGTGTACTTGTAATGTTATGCCTGCAAAAGTAAAGTTGACTGGTGAATAGAAATGTTGGCATCCTTTGACTACCATAGTCAGTGGCTATGACATTCAATTTTGGAACTACAGTTCCCAAAATCTCCCTCTCAACAGTGAACATAGCCATTGTAATTGCTGTTTTAATGTTTTACTGTAATGAAAGACATTATGATGTTTTATTGATTGTATGTGATATTATGGTTGGTCTGAGTCCCTCAAGAGAGGTGAGAAGGTCGGTATACAAAACTTTTAAATAAATAAATAAATAAATTGGCTGGAGGATTCACATAGATATATTCCCAGAATCCTCAAGGAACTTTTCAGAGCTTTAAGCAATTGATAGTCTTATTCTTCATGAATTTTTCTAATCCTTTTTAAATATCATCTAATGCTGTGGTCATCACCATATTGGATGGCAATTAAATCCATAAATTAATTATGTGTTGTGTGAGGAAGTGCTTTGTTCTGCCAGTCCTTAATCTCCTGCCAATCTGTTTTATTGAATGATCTTGAGTTCTATTATTAAGAGAAGGGGAAAAAATCTATCCACTTTCCCCACAATATGCATAATTTTTATAAACCTCTATAAACCTTAATTATAAACTGTAATTTGTATGAACATCATCTAGAATTACCGAGACCAGGATTTGTGCTAATCTTAGCAAAAAAAAGTTTTTATAAAAAATAGAAAAATAAAAATTGAGCTTGTGTCAAACAAAGAATTACAAAGTTTAAGCTTTTACAGGCTCATGGCTAGTACAGGAACAGGATCATTGGCTTATTAAGAGAAATGATCTGGAGGGATCCATTGTGACAAAGATAGTTATGTGACATTTCGGTGATTATGACACTCTCTCAAAACAGGACCATTTTTGTGCTGCTGTGTTCACCCTGCTCTTGGGTAGGCAACTCTTCTTCCTAAGCAAAGCACTTCCTTGGAGAAGTTAAGGGCATGGCATGTCCTATCAGGCCAATATTCACCAAATAAGATAGCAAAACAGCAAAAGCCAGCAACTCACCGGTGACATGGGAAATTCCTTCCTTCAGCTACCAAGGTGGCATCACAAAGCTGATGGTTCTCGTAAAGCTTCCTTACGCCTGTATGGATGGAGAGACCATACTAAATTTGTGTAACATCTTGATTTAGAAACTACTAGGGCAATAAATCTGGCCAACTAGTTGTTCCAGAAAGACATAAAGATAGCACTGGACCGCCTATTATCAGTGCTATTCTTGTTTAAAACACATTTTGAGACTTTTTCTATTCAACTGGATATGTTAGGTTCAGGAAATGTGATGTTCTTGCCAGAAATTTTATGGATTCTATTTATCATTTTAATCTCCTTTTATTATATTAAAGTTGTTAGTTGGGAACATTTAGATTTTTGTGTGTGTGTGTGTGTGTGTGTACTGCCCATACTGCTGCTCAACAGTCTCTTTTCCTGAGCTGGCCAAGGTGGTCTTCGGAGTAGTGTTGAAGTCCCTACAGCCTGTGATGTTGGGAGACTTCAACATAAATACTGAAGCTTCCCTGCTTAATGTGGCTCAGGACGTATGCCTGCCATGACAACCATGGATCTGTCCCATATGGTATCTACATTCACTCATGCAACCAGACACACTCCAGAACTTGTTTTCTCTACAGAGGAGATGAAGGAGGTCTGTAAATGAAGAAACTGTCTACTGTTACATTGTCATAGTCAGATCACCTCTTGATCAGATTTTGACTTGCTGGGACTCAGAACCTTTGTAGGAGTGGAGACCCATTAGGATGATGTACCTAGGATTTTTAAGAATCTAGATGGATTCCTGCTAGTTCTTGGGGAAGTTTCCTGCAATCCTTTTGAAGCAGTAGTTGATCTCTGGAATGGGCAAATGACCAGGCTGGTGGACACCCAATAATCCTAAGCACTTATTTTCATGAAGTGGGGCTAAACCAGTCTCTTGTTCTTTGCCAGCAATGCAACAAGTGAGACAGAAATTAGAGTGACAGTGGCAGAAAATTCAGAGTGATTCCAACTGAAAACTAGTTAAGTTTAATTGAAAACTGATGGTGGGGCAATAAAGGTAACAAAAAGTATTGCTAACATTTCTGCATCCCCACAGAAACAACCAGAAGACCCCTCTTTTGAGTGGTCAAGGATCTGTTGCAGTCTGGTCCAAGCTACTCAACAGTCCACTGTAAAGAATTTGCCCAACATTTTGCAGTTAAAATCATTTGGAATTGCTCTGACTTAGATGCACCAACATTGATATAGTTCTAGTGGATGTAAGCTTGGCTCCTGCTTGACCAGTGTTAATGGATACTGTTCAGTTTGTTCAGCCTGTGGATAGGTTCCTTGGAGAGATAAGATCCACCATTCGTGTCCTAGACACTCGCCCTTCCTGGTTTATTAAACAGGGCAGAGGACTGGCTGAATGGCTAAAGGAAGCGATGAATGCATTTCTATAACAAGGCATGATCTCATCTTGCCTGAAGGACACTTTTGGGGGAGGGGGGATTCTTGGATCCTCCTATACCAGGTAATTATGGGCCATTCTCCAACACCCCATTTTAGGGCAAGATATTGGAGTGTGTGCTGATTTAGCAATAAGAAGAGTACTTTGATGAGACAAATTATGTAGAACCATTTCATTCTGGTTTCAGGCCTGGTTATGAGATGGAGACAGCTTTGCCTGCCTTCATGAATGATCTAAGCAGAGAACTGGACATAGGATAGCTTTGCTGAAACTTTCAGTGGTTTTTGCTACCATTGCCCATGGTATTATTATCAATCATCTCTCTGAGATGGTGTTCTACAGTGACTCTGTTCTTTTCTGAAGGATTCTTGTTCAATTCCTTGGCTGTTGGCCTGTGGAGTTCCTCACAGTTGTGTCCTATGATATTTAATGCCCATATGAAACTACTGGAAGAGGTGCATGAAATTTGTGGTCAGATGTGGTCAGTATGCTGATGAAACCAAACCCTATTACTCCTTTCCACCTAATTCCAAAGAGGCTGTTTCTCTGCTAAACCATTGCCTGCCCCTTATAGTGGAATGGATGAGTGTGAATGAAGCTTAATCCAAATCAAACAAGGATGCTCAAAGGACAGATCTGAAAATACGGAATCGGCCTGTGTAAATGGGGTTACACTCCCTTTGAAAATGCAGATTCACAGCTTGTGGGAATTCCAAGATGCAGCCCTAAGCCTGGAGGCCTTGGGTTAGGCATTGTTAACTTTAGTGTGCCAACAGTACCCATTCTTGGAGAAGTTGGATCTGATCATGATAATACATGTCTTGGTCACATCACATTTGGATTACTGGGATGCATTCTACCTTTGAGTCTACCTTTGAAAAGTGCTCAAGAAACCTCAGCTGGCCCAAAGAGCTGTAGCCAGAGTGCTAACTGGGGCTGGAATACGGGGACACACAATGTCTTTGTTTCAACAGTTCCACTTGCTGCCAGTCCATTTCTAGACACAATTCAAAGCACTGATGATGATCTATAAAGGCCTATATGGGTTGGATATGAAGGACTACATATCACTTTATCAGTCCATTGAGCACTATGGTCTTTTGGAGATAATGTCTTATCTGCCCCACCACCTTGTCAGGCTCATTTCAGGGCAACAAGGGACAGGGCCTTCTTGGTAGCTGCTCTCAATCTTTGGATTTCCCTCCCGGAGGACACTAGGATAGCTTTCTCCTTGCTCCTCTTCTAACAGCAAATGTATAGTTTTTAATCAATACTGTTTTTAAATATTCTGTCACCTGCCTTGAGTCTCATTATTGAGTCAAAGGCAGGATACAAATTAACAAAATAATCACCTTAACTGTCATGGCTTTATCCTGTGGAATCCTTTGTAGTTTGGTGAGGTATTATTTCCTCTGGCTGAGAACTCTAAATACCTCTTCTCTCTACCACAACTCCAATAATTCCATAGTATGTTGCCATAGCAGTTATAGTAAAATCATAGCACTATAATTGTTTCATGTGAAAGAGTTTACTGTGCTCTGGTAAAGCCAACCTCTACATATTTACATTACGATGAAGCCTAATTAGTCAGATTTATAGATTTGGCACCCCCTGAGAGCCAGGAGGAAAAGTCTTGAACAAACAGAATCTGGATGTGTATTGAAGAGCACCTTCTATTGATGTGTTCTGCACAGAACTTACCCTGAGTTGTGTAATGTCCCAAAGAGTTAGGCCTCGTATTTGTGTCGTTCTCTTCGTCATCATCTTGGCCCTTTTTGGTATCCATAATCCACCTGTAGATTCAAGAATCTCCAAAAAAGGATGCCTTCTCTGAGATTCATTAACCGGTCATTTCTGGAGGAGAAGAGAGTGCAAGAGATCCTATAATTTGAAAAAGGGTTGCATTAGCCATCTCAGGTGAGTTAGAATACTGATGATTCACAGTTGCAATAATATCCGGCCAAATATACCCTGCTAAGCTTTGCTATCCTATTGTTATATAACATATTGGAAACCTGGAGGAGTTTCAATGAAGTCTTTTGGAAATGATTTGAAGGAACACGAAACCAAGAGCAACAACAAGAACAACAAAACATATCTTATAAGTCTGAACAACATGGACAATGATCATTTTTGCTGACCAAAAAATCGCTTGAGATCTGACCAAATTTTTTCTTGCTTCTTCCAGTTGTCATCTTCTCAGAGGAATTCAGGAATAATATTCCATTGAACAGGAATGCTTTACTGTCTCTGTATGCTGTTTTAGATAGCCATCTTCCTGTCCTTGTAGCTCAAGAAAGGGGAGGCAACATACCGCCAAGGCAAAGCACATATTTTGTATGTAGATGGCAATAAGTTCAAGGTCTTGCATCTCCATTTCAAAATAATAGGATGGTGAAATGAGTGATAGAAAAGACCCCTTCCCAAGACCATGGAAAGATACTGGTAGTCTAAATAGTACTGGCTTAGATGGAGAAATAGTCTGACCTGGCAGAATGCAGTTTTTTATGTTCTATGCACAATTCAATTTCTTCAATGTCTCAGAGATTCACAGATCCTGTCTCCTCTTTCTACCATGTTATTCTTCATTGATGTTCAAATGACTGTCTGTTTGACTATTCCACTTTTAAGATCTGGCTTCAAGATGGCACCTGTACCTGAGACAGGGGTTTGTTGTTTAGTAATCCTTTTGAGGTATTAAAGGGCTGGTAACAAATCTTGACACAGATGCAACTCCCCAAACCAGTGGAAGAAAGGTCCAGTGCTACACACAGCATAGTATGAGATGGTTTCACTTAAGGAAAGATGTTGACGTTGAGTGTTTGGTTGCTGGTAGTTGGTGAAACCAAGGGCCATTGTGGCAAAAGTCTGAAATACAGAGCATAAGAACAACCCTAACCCCCCAGGACAGTATGACCTCCCATTATGACTGCAAACCTAGAGACAGACAAGCAGCAGCCAATGGGATGTTACTATTGTACAGTGCCTATTTCTTATTTGCATATTGGGAAGGGAGGGTGGCTAAAAAGACATATTTTGAGAGACTGGCGGCTCAGTTGATGAGCTGAACATCCCAAAGCAGGTGCTACACTGTCTCCTCTTTCATTCATAATCCCTTTAGATAGTGTGTCTTTTACTATTTGGGGATCATTTTTTAAAATAAAATGAAAAAAATACCACCCAGTTACCAAGTTCTAGAAAAAGGGAGATCCTGTTTGTATAATGCTGTGTAAAATTCCAGGATAAAGTATTAATGTGTATATGACAATGACTCATATCC